TATAAATTAAGGTCGATTTGTATCACTTTTTACGATTTTGATAGAATAGGTCCGAATCATTCATCCGTAACGTTGCTCTAACTCTTAAAAGATGTTTATCATATACAATTTTCAATTTCAGATGTCTTTTCAAGTGAGTGTTGCTGTCAATGATGCGCCACTGCAGAAGATAACTGTGACACCAAGCACGACGGTTAGCCTGAATACTCTTATTTAAAAATGTGCAAAATTATATTTTTAGATTGGAGATCTTCACAGCGATGCTATTCTGGTTTGGAAGGATATGGCTATCGTGTATGACGTTACGGAGGGAAACGGAAACGGGCCGGCAACCACTTTGGAACAACTCGGAGTCAATTCCCTCTCTATGATCTACGTCTACACAACTTCCTTCCCATGCCCGTCTGGAGACATCCGGTCTATCGTTCCAGCACAAGTCCGACTTATAACCCAGTTCGCTTCTGCTGCTTCGAACCTTTTTAATCAAGCAAAAACCACAGCTCCTTCATCATCATCGAATCAAAATGCTCGTACTTCACAACAGGCTGACGACGGCGATGATGGATCGATTAAAACAATGTTCTCTCGGAAAGTTCTGGAGAAGCCATCTATGCTCAAAGCTCTGACAGAAAACATGTTCTTCCGATTGAAAAATGAGGCACATAAGCTCGCATTTCAACTTCCGGATCTCGTTGAACGGTTTACTCAGAATAAGGACCAGACATACAGTGAGTCTATTCTTTGTATTTTAAAATTTAATTTCGTTTTATTTTCAGAAGAATTCGAGGCATTTTTCCGTTCATACATTGAAGAGGAGGTTCATAAAGAGGAAATCATTCAGAACAACCCAAACTCCGCGGAAGCAAAAATGTTCTTGGAAGCTAGACGCAACAAGGAATTGATCAATGAGCAGTATGTTCATGTAAGCTGTTAAATAAGTTTTCTAAACTAATTACGTATTATTTTCAGTCGATGACTCATCATCCAGAAGACATGATCGCTGTAACTATGCTCTAT